CGCTGCGCGGCCGCGACCGTACTTCGTACCGCTCCTTCAGCAGGTTCTTGGGCAGGCTCCTCCTCCTTGTCCTCCTCCCTCCGTAGAGTGTCCTCCGCCTGTCCAGCCGCAGTCACAGTTACCGCCTGCCTCGCCTCTCCCTGCTCCCTCTCCTTATACTGGTCCCACAGGAGGTCTTACAGAGCGTCGTGAGCCTGAGTCTCGTCCTGCGTCGCCTGTTCGTCCTGCTCGCACTGGTAGTCGTGTCCGTCGTGAGCGTCCTCCGCCTGTCCCAGGCACTCACTACATGACTCTGCGTCCCTCTACTGCTCCTCGGCGTGTCCCTCTACCGTCTCCTCCTGCGTCCTCTTTGCCTGCCGTTCCGGACCCTGAGTCTGACCGGTATCGCGCTGAGCACCCTACAGTCACGCGTCTCCTTGCTACTGTTGTCACTGACCCCACCTTTGAGTCCTCGGCTGCGTCTGCTCTGGTCGCTGAGTTGGTTGACTTTGCTGCTGCCTGTCGTCTAGACTACGCTGCTAGCCTTGTCGCTGAGTCAGAGTCTGCGTCAGTCTGTCCTCCGTCCGTCGGGGGTGAGTGTGCTCTTGGCACGGACGTCCTTGAGGACAGGCAGGAGGACTTTGACTCACTTGCGGCTGCTGTACCTCATCTCGTGGCCTGGTTGCTTGCCCCTGAGGGAGACCCGGATGCAGTAGACATCCCCACTCCGCGCACCTACGCAGAGGCGATCTCGGGTCCCTACTCCTCTCAGTGGCAGACAGCCATGGACGCAGAGATGGCATCCTGGAAGTCCACAGGCACCTACGTCGACGAGGTTCCCCCTCCTGGGGCGAACATCGTCGATGGCATGTGGATTTTCAGGGTGAAGCGGCCGCCAGGTTCTCCGCCTGTCTTCAAGGCTCGTTACGTTGCTAGAGGCTTCAGTCAGCGTCAGGGGGTCGACTTCTTCCAGACCTTCTCCCCCACCCCGAAGATGACCACTCTTCGGGTTCTGCTGCACGTTGCTGCTCAGCGTGACTACGAGCTTCACTCTCTTGACTTCAGCACAGCGTTCCTGCAGGGCAGCCTGCACGAGGAGATCTGGCTGCGCCGCCCACCTGGCTTTACTGGGTCGTTTCCCCCTGGTACCCAGTGGAGTCTCCGCCGGCCAGTCTACGGTCTCCGCCAGGCGCCACGTGAGTGGCACGACACACTGAGGACTACTCTTGCGGCTCTTGGGTTCGCGCCGTCTACTGCTGACCCGTCGCTGTTCCTGCGCACAGACACGTCGCTGCCGCCGTTCTACATCCTCGTGTACGTCGACGACTTGGTCTTTGCTACTGCTGACACTGAGGCACTCGCTCGTGTGAAGTCGGAGCTGCAGAAGAGACACACCTGCACTGACCTGGGTGAACTGCGTAGCTACCTTGGCTTGCAGATCACCCGGGACAGAGCTCGCCGCACCATCACCCTTACTCAGTCACACATGGTGCAGCAGGTCCTTCAGCGCTTCGGCTTCCAGTTCTCCTCACCACAGGCCACACCTCTGGCTACCAGCCACTCGCTCTCAGCTCCACCTTCGGACGAGTCCGTAGAGCCGAGTGGCCCGTACCCAGAGCTTGTAGGCTGCCTCATGTACCTGATGACTTGCACGCGACCTGACCTCGCGTACCCTCTTAGCATCCTTGCTCGTTACGTTGCGCCTGGGAGACACAGGCGAGAGCACTGGGAGGCTGCTAAGAGGGTGCTGCGTTACCTGTGCAGTACATCAGGCATGGGGCTGGTGCTTGGAGGACGCGACAGAGTTGTCCTCACTGGTCACTCGGACGCCTCTTGGGTGGACGACCTGGCTACGCAGCGGTCGTCACAGGGTTACACCTTCAGCCTTGGCTCAGGTTCTGTCTCGTGGCGGTCCACCCGCTCTTCCTCTGTTCTCGGCTCTAGTTGTGAGGCTGAGATCTACGCCACAGCCATGGCTGCACAGGAGTTACGCTGGCTCACCTACCTGCTGACTGACTTGGGAGAGCGGCCTAGTTCTCCTCCAGTTCTGTACGGTGACAACAAGGCGGCTCTTGCCTTGTGTCAGGAGCACAGACTGGAGCACAAGACGAAGCACATTGCTCTTCGCTACTTTCTTGCTCGAGAGCTTCAGCAGCGCGGTCAGCTTCGGCTTGTGTACGTGGACTCGAAGGCCAACACTGCTGATATCTTCACCAAGGCGCTCCCGCCTAGTGATCATCAGCGGCACTGTACTTCTTTAGGCCTTGTGTCCACGTTTCCTCACTTGCTCACTGCTTGACATTCTTTGTACTGTACTTTATATATATCTTGTTGCTTGTCTTGTACTATATCTAGCACTGCATGTGAACTGGCCTTGTGGCCTTTACTTGTGCTCGGAGTGTGGTGACGTTGTGATCCACCCTGGGCGTTGCTTTGCTTTGCTGGACTGGTCTTGTGACCCTTTGTTCTCCCCCACTTTGCCTATGGGGGTGTGTTAAACTGTAGTATGCTTGTAGGCTGTAGTGGGGTAGCCAATATGGGGTACAACCCCAACTAGGGTTTGCTACTTGTACCCAACTGTTTCATTCAATGCATCATTCTTGCCTAGTGATTCTGACATGTACAAGCTTACCAGCTGCGGTGCACATTAGCACAGCCTACCAGATGGTTGATTTATGCCACGATCGCACATCTCAACAATTGTCGTGCTCCTGGTCGCATAAAGGCTAAACCGTCAGAACCCAACGTGTCCAGACCTCGAGCCGTGTGGCTGAACATTGGAATGCCCAAACTTCGAATGTTTTCCGAATGGTATATCTCAGCGGACAAGCGAGCCCGCCCAGGGGAGCTCGCTGCCCGCGGGCAAAAAAAATAAACCCCAGACGGGCATGCATCCGGTCAGGGAGCCTCAACCCTAAACGCGGGGAGGCATGGTGTTTAGGGTTGAGGCTCCCTCGGATGGCATGCCATCCGATGGGGTTTTAGTTTTTTTCTGCCCGGGGCAGCATGTCGACAGGTCGTCGGAGGGTCGTCAGGCTTGACGACCCGTTTCCGCTGAGATTTTCCGGGCCAGGAATGAGACCTAAGTGTGCTGCCAGAAGAGCACGACAACCGTACAGTTTGCTTTTAGTTATTAGTTGATTCTGCGCACCCTGTCATACTGCTCATGACAGAAACTTAAGGTTCGGAACGGACATGTCGCGAGATGGTATGTAAGCGAAGTAAGACTCTAAGGGGGATGCCATTTCCACCCCGCAACCAAGCCCCGGTGGAACCCCTTGGGACACCACCGCCATTGGCACTGTTCACATCTGTGGTCGTCGGAGTTGGTGCGTACGGTACAGTCGATGCCCAATCCTTGCACGCGAAATTGCCTTTCACATTCCAGAAACCTTGCACCCGTGGGTTTCTTGCCGCGAAGTTGCACCTACGTTACAAGCACGTCGACCAATAAGAGCCACAGAAACGGAAGTCTGACTGATGAGACTGCAGTCAAACAGTCAACGGTGAGTTACAAAAAAATTTTATAAGCCCTTTTTGCCCGATGCGAATTGACGAAACCACCGCGAAATGCAGAATCACTTATACGCACATGGGGTAGGCCAAAGTTGGGGGGCTCAACCGGGCATCATGTGTACTGTATCCGTGTTCTTCCTTGTAATGAATGCGCTTCGTGATATGTCACCGTCCCACCGAAACAAGCGTGAGCTCGGCCCATCTAGCGTCACCACGTCGCTGTGGCATGCTCCGATTTCCTGAGAGCCGTCGATTTCGATATTGTAATGCAACTAGATGCCTACGTGCGGTTCGGTTGGCGATGGGTGGGTTGGGTCGTTGAGGGATTGTTGTTGGGTGCAAGCAAGCTGTTGAAATTAGTTATGTTTTGAACGTACCCGCAGCATCTCCACATGCCACTTCATACAACAGAGGGTAGTTGTTTCCCACACCCTCATTCGGCCCACTCTTCCCTTCCACCACACTTCCCTCAAGAATACCAGCAGCTCAACAAACATCGTGGTGAATTTCAAACCAAAGCAGGTGCGAAATTTTCTTCTCGATAGGACTCGTTACGCTTTGTCCTCTCTATACACTTGATACACGGTTTCTACCCCGCAACCCTTTCCCCAACCAACTTCGGAGTTCGGACGTGGCATGGTTCACGGGAATGTCGTTGACTGCTTCACCCACTTCCCCTCCCTGCCCGTCTCCCCTGCAATCGAGCGCCCAGGGTGTTCCGCTCCGCGTGGAAAGGAAACGAGAAGAAAAGCGGCGGGCGGCCGCTTCGGATGCTTGCGTCAACATGAGATGAGATGGGGGCTCTTTCCCAAGTCGGTCGGTGCACCGATGGATATGCGCATTCGGTTCGGAACTTGTCAATATGCGATAGATTGGGCAGATTATAGCTGATCACACCGCTCTTATAGCAAGACTCTCATGCAGGAGCGCTCTCTGAGAGCTCAATGCCCGACCACTAGCAGGAAACGTCTTGATGTGCCATGGTCGTCGACATAGAACGGCGTTCTTGAGCGAGAGTACGGCATGCGGTAGTGGTTTCGCAGGAAGATAAGGAGAATACACAAGTGATTTGAGCACCCTCGCATAACGTCTGTTCAACCACAGGCGAACGCGACGGGGCAAGTCTCGCCACGCCGCTTTGTCGCAGTGGTTGACGCGACGGCGCGCAAGGCGATTACAGCAGTGAACAGACAGCGAGGCGCTATGATTAGAAAGACCAAATCGATCATTCGTCTCTCAGCGGCAGCAGCAGCAGCAGCAGTAGGGCTCCGCTGCCGGCTCGAGACGGAGGCACGCGGCCTTCGACGTGTTTTTGAGTCGACTCAAATATAAATATTCGCTGCTGGCTCGAGCGACGGCGACACGCGGCGTGCGACGAGCCACCTAAGCGACGAAAGTGTAACACGACAGGAACAGCCGCGCCACAAGACCTCTTTGTTCTCGTCGCTGAGTTTTAGCTTCCCGAGCGAATTCGTCCGTGCCTGCAGTCTTGCGGAACTGGGAGTATGGCTCGGGTGAGATCTGCTTTCCGCGCGCGCGCGGGTGCTGCTGGCGCTGCTACTAGCGGTGGCCTGCAGTCTGCGGTGTACCGTGTGCGTTCAAGGTACGATAGATGGGAGCACGCGAGAGGATGAGAGGAGGAACAGCAGCACGGGTAAGGCGTATCGGTTGCGGAGAAACGAAGGATAGTGCGACGTAACGACGAACGTAGCGAAGAATAACGGAGGTGATGGGGAGTGGCGCGGAGTGACGGAGAGTAAGGATGAGCCCCTCTTCTCCGTCATCCACTCTTTGTATTCACACATCCGCGCCTCTCCGCGCATTTGCTCCTAGAGATCATTCAAACCCCATCTCTCCCTACCGCCATCAACACTCCCTACCATCGCACTCATCGCAGCTGAACCACTTCCGCACTTTGCCTCCCCTTTCCCCCCTCCTCCCCCCTCCCTCCTCGCAGTACCATCCGCTCCCAAGAAGGCGCTTTACATCGTCCGCCTTCGATCCGCTCCCCCCATCACCGGCTATCGCGGCGGCATTGGTAGCTACCCCGCCACCGCTCCTCCCGCACCTGACGCCGCCGATGACGGCGCCGCTGGCGGCGGATCCGACTCGCAGCCTCCCGCCGCCACCGTCCCTCCCGCCCCCAGCGCCGCTGACTCATCCGCGTCGACCGCCACGTGGCCGAACACCACTGGCTTCGCTGCCGCCAGCGCCACGCCCGCCGGGGCGGGGGGGCGTCGATCTCCCCGCAGGGCTTGGGCGCGGGGAGGGGGAGCTGGAAGTTCAACCCGCGGCTGCCGCACGTGCGCGCGTTCGGGGAGTTTCTGAAGGCGCAGCAGGACAGCCTGGCGGCGGAGATAGGGACGACCGCCATTTACAAGTGAGTGCGCGCGCTGCGGGCGATAGCAGCGGCGAGGCACCACACGGCACGGGATGCCTTGGCACGGCATGGGAAGGCGCGGACAAGGCAATGCGGGTGCGCGCGCTTTGCAGGGCTCCAGGCTGGTCCGCTGCACCCCTCACTTGCTCCAACGCCGCTTCCCCCGCTGTTCTTAACTACCTCTGACCTCCCACTCCCCCTCGAAACGGCTCTGACCCTCCACTCACTTCGCCCCCTCTTCGGCCCCTCTTCCCCTCCCCTTCCCCCCTTTTCCCCCTCCCCTTTCCCCCCCTCCCTCTCCCCTTCCCTCTCCCCCCCCGCGCCAGTTTCAAATTCGCGAGCAACGCGTTCGCGGCGATGCTGACGCCGAAGCAGGTGTGGCGGTTGCAGCGGCACCCGGACGTGGCGCTGGTGCGGCGGAGCGGCGTGGCGAAGCGGCTCGGCATGCCGTCGACGTCGTTCCTGGACCTGCAGCGCACCGCGTGGAAGCAGGCGGGCGGCGTGGGCAGCGCGGGCGACGGCGTGGTGGTGGGCGTGATCGACACGGGCATCTGGCCCGAACACAAGATGTTCCTCGATGACGTGAGCGCGGGGATTAGCGGGTGGGGGGGGGGGGAGGAGGAGGGAGAGCGGGGCGGAGGGGAGTTGCGGAGGGTTGAAAGTGGTGGGCGTGATCGACACGGGCATATGGCCCGAACACAAGATGTTCCTCGATGACGTGAGCGCGGGGGGGAGGGAGATGGGAGACTGCGGAGAGGGGGAGGGGGAGGAGGAGGGACGAGATCTTAGCGGGGAGCGGAGAGGGAGTGGCGGAGGGTGGGAGTGCCAGGAGATGGGGTGACACTCAAAAGAAAGGGCGGATGAGCATGCTGGAAAGAAAGGGCTCCTCAAAGGTGAGCGTCCCCCTCCTCTCACTCCTCCATACCAACACCTTTCCCCGCCCTCCCTCGCCCCTTCCCCTACCCACTCCCCCTCCTTCCCCCATCCCCACCCCCCACTTATCCTCCAGCCCGCTCGCCGCCTCTCTTCCCCCAACGCGCAGGGCTCGTTCACAGCGCCGGGGACGTGGGCGGGGATATTGAAATCACTTTTGAGAATTCTCAAAAGTGGGCAGGGACGTGCGACGCCTTTTGAGGCGCCTCGAAACTCCCACACCCAACTTCCCCCTGCCTGCCTCCGCGCCTCTCTTCCCCCTACGCGCAGGGCTCGTTCACCAAGCCGGGGTCGTGGGCGGGGACGTGCGACGCGACGTCGGACTTCCCCGCGTCGCTGTGCACGGGGAAGCTGGTGGGCGCGCGCACGTTCTACACCGGGTACGAGGCGGAGGTGGGCGCGCGCGACTTCACTGATGATTACGACTCGCCGCGCGACTCGGACAGCCACGGCACGTGGTGTGCGGGGTGAGTGGTGGGCGGGAAGTGGGTCGATTGGACAGGAGCTTTTGGTCGCTTTTTGGTGCGCGCTTTTGAAGCCGTTTGATCTGTGAAAAGCGCGCGAGCGTGTGTCCAAATGCAGAATGGCCCCGTTGCACTCCCAAACCATTTAGGTTCACATCTTCCGTAAATACGGTTGATGAAAAAAAAAAAAAAACGTGAACTCATTTAGGTTCACCAATCAGCGCCCACTATCCCCTCTTTCCAATCCCATCCCACCCCTCCCCACCCCACCGCACAACCAACAGAGCAGCAGTGGGCAACAGCGGCGTGACCCTCGTCACCCCCTACGGCACGAACCTGGGCACGTACAGCGGCGTCGCCCCACGCGCGAGCCTAGCCGTGTACAAGGTCTTTTGGAAGACCCAGGGCAGCTCGTCCGCCAGCTTCACGGACATAGAGGCAGCGGTGGACCAGGCCATGGCTGACGGCGCCAACGTGCTGAGCCTCAGCCTGGGCGCTCTGGACCCCTCCATGACCTACTTTGATGATGTTGCGTACCTGCAGGCCAATGTGGTGAGTGGGGTGCGGAAGGGGGGGGAGGGAAGGGGAGTGGAGGGAAGGGAGGGGAGGGGAGGGGAGGGGAGGGGAGGGGAGGGGAGGGGAGGGGAGGGGAGGGGAGGGGAGGGGGGGAGGAGGGGAGGGGAGGAGGGGAGGGGGGAAGGGAAGGAGGGGGCGAAGGGGAGGGGGTGGATGTGCTGAGCCTGTCGCTGGCGCTCTGGACCCCTTTGCGACGAATTTTGACGACGTTGCATACATGCAGGCTGATGTGGTGCGTGGTGGTGGGGCGGGAGGGGTGTGAGGGGCGTGCGGGGTGTGAAAAGGCTGGACCCCGCTGTGACATACTTGGATGATGTTGCGTACCTGCAGGCCAATGTGGTGCGTGGCGTGTTGAAGGAGGGAGGGAGGGGAGGGAAGGAGGGGAGCAGGGGTAGGAGGGGAGCAGGGGGAAGGAGGGAGGGGGAACGACCGTTTTTCAGGCGAGGTGGAATGTTGCTGGTGCTTTGCAGGTGGAGGGAGATGTGGTGCGCGGAGTGGGGGTGGAAGTGTGAGAGGGGGCTGTGCTGTGGGGAGGAGGCTACGAGGGCCAGTAGGTATTTTGAGAATTCTAAAAAAAAAAAAAAGAGTAGGGTGGCAGCGAGGTGCAATGAGGGGTGCAAGTGAGAGAGAGTGTGAGAGGGCCCATAACTTGTGCTCTCGTATTCACGTGTGCTATAAGAGTGTGTGTGTGTGTGTGCGCGTGTGTGTGTTTGTGCGTGTGGTGTTTGGGGGATGCATCTTCATTCTTGCCATCCCATTTCCCTCTCCATCCCACCCCATCCCACCCCATCCCACCGCATCCCACCCCATCCATAACTTGCAGGCGGGCGTGACAGTGGTGTATGCAGCGGGCAACTCAGGCCGTCCGCCAGGCAACCTGCTCTTCCCCTACATCTTCCGCTCTGTCTCCAACTTCTCGCCCTTCTACCTCACTGTCGGCGCCAGGTACGAACGCTCCCCTCTCCCCCCTCCTGCTTGCTCTTGCTCGCCACTTCCCAAACGTACACTCTAGGCTCTCCTCCTCTCCCCGCCTCCAGTTACCTCTCTCCACCATCTTCACCTGCCCTTCTGCTATGCCTCTTGCTCCACCCTTTTCTCTCCCCTCCTCTTCCCACATTCCTCCCCCTCTTTCCTCCCCCCCTCCCCCCCCCCCCCCCCCTTCTCGCCCTCGTGCAGCACGATAAACAAGGCGAGAACACTGTACGGGAGGAAGGCCGCTCCCAGAACCACTGCTGCTTCCACCACCACTCACTCCACCGCTGCTGCTCTCCTCCCCGCCACTGCGCTGGATGACACCACCAGCAGCAGCGGCAGCAGTGGTATTAGCAGCAGCAGCAGCAGCAGCAGCGATCTGGACGAGCATCAGGCAGCTGCTGTGCGTGCAGTAGTGGCCATGCAAGAAGCACGCACTGCCACCCCTGCCTTCCCTGCTGCTGCTGCTGGCAGTAGTTTGGCTGGAGACACAGACTATCCCATAGCCGGCCCTGTAGACGGCACCACCAGCACCAGCAGCAGCAGCAATAACAGCACGGCTCTAGCAAGTGAGCTCGTGCATTCCCTGCAGGAGGAAGGCATGGTGGTGGTAGGCAACTGGCCCGCCCTGCACTCCACCCCCGTGCTCCTCGCTGCTACCGCTGCCCTCCCCGGCGCCAGCAGCACTGAACCCGCGCGGCTGTGCCTGCCTGGTTCGCTGGCCGCTGCTGCGGTGAGAGGGAACGTGGTGGTGTGTGCGAGTGGCGGGTCCACCGTTGGGGAGAAGGTGGCGGTGGTGGCGGCGGCGGGAGGGAGAGCGGTGGTGGTGAGCGGGGTGGAGGTGAGTGGGGAGGAGGAGGGCGGGCATGAGATGCCGTGCACGCTGGAAGGGAGCGCCTCCAATTGTTCCGCCTCCTCCTCCTCCACCGTGGGCAACAACAGTAGCAGCAGCAGTGGCGGCAGCAGCAGTGACAGCAGCAGCGTCAGTGGTACTGGTAGCCTAGGCAGTGTGAGCAGCGTAAGCAGCGGTGGAGGCAGTATGGAGAGCATGTTGAGTGGCAGCGAGGCATGGGCGGTGCCTGTGATGCTGGTGGACCATGATGACTCGGCCGCCATGTTCGCTCTCATCAATGCGCTCACTGCCAAGAACACTGGCAAAAAAGGCGGACGAAGGTGAGCCGGCAGCATGGTTCGCATGTGACACATGGCTGGAGTGTGCTGCACCCCCGTCTCTTCTCCACTCCCCTTTCCTCTCTCTCCTTCACACTCCCCCTCTCCCCATGCACTCCAACTCCGCTCCTCACCTTCTCCTCCTCATCTCCCTTCCCCTCCCCACATCTCCCTCACTGTAGCCACCAACTCTTCCCTCAGCCCCCTTGTCTTACTCTTCCGCTCCCCTTTCCCCTTCCCCACTACCCCCCTCCCCTCCCACCTCCCCACCCCCAACCAGAGCAACAACCCTATCCATCCTGGACATATTCAACTACATGAAGGGCCCCGTCGCCGCAACCTCCTCCTCCACTTCTTCTTCCCCCGCCCCCATTTGTCTCACTCTTCCCACCCCACTTCCGTTCCCACCCCCACCCCCCAACCCCCCCACTCCCTTCCATCAGAGCAACAACCCTATCAATCCTGGACATATTCAACTACATGAAGGGCCCCGTCGTCGCCACCTTCTCCTCCACGGGCCCGCTCACCCCCATGACAGCGCGCAACCGCGGGCCCTACCCCACCAACCACGTGCTCAAGCCCGACATCATCGCTCCAGGCGTCAACCTCTACTCCGCTGCTCCCGGCACCAGCCCCAACAACGCCCAGATGCTCTCCGGAACCTCCATGGCCACCCCGCATGTAGCCGGGCTCGCAGCGCTGGTGATCCAGGCGCATCCGACCTGGACGCCTGCACAGGTCATGTCTGCGATGATGACCACGGCGAGAACGCACAACAGCGCCGGTACGCCGATTTTCCATGCGTCGGCCACGAGAGCGTCGCCGTGGCACCTCGGGTCGGGGCATGTCAACCCCGAGAAGATGCTGGACCCTGGGTTGACGTACAATGCGGTGGAGAAGGATTATAAGAACTTTCTCGCCGGGAGGAAGATGCGGTGGGCTAAGGCGATGTTTCCTTCGGATTCGCTGAGTGCGCTCAAGGCGTATCAGCTGAACCGGCCGTGTATATCGGTGCAGGGGCTGCGGAACACGGTGGTGATTGTGCGGCGGGTGACGAACGTTGCGACGAGCACGTCGACGTACCGGGCGAAAGTGAAGCAGCCGTTTGGGGTGGCTGTGAAGGTGAAGCCGAGGAAGTTTACAATTGCGCCTGGTGCGACGCAGGTGTTTAAAGTGACGCTCACGCTGCAGCTGCCGTGGAAGCTGTTTCGGTTTGGTAGCCTGTGGTGGCTGGACGGTAAAGGGCACTCGGTTAGGATCCCCATTGCTGTGCAACCGTCTTGGATTCGGTGATATAGGTATGGGAAGTTGTTGGGGAATGTCTTGGAGCAATAGCTCTCTTTTGGAGACTGTTGCTTGTAGACTGTAGGAAGGTAACAAGTTAGCATATAGCTAACTTTTGCCCCTTTTTGTGATTTATTAACAGTTTATTCCGATTCTGTACTGCCCATATGAAAGCGAAAGTACTATTTCTCCTCTTGTAGACCCTAATTTTATGGAAATTTGGGAATGCCTGGTAAAGGTGGGCTATGGTATCATGGTCAGCGAACCTTTGTTCAGAAGCTTGATTACAGCAGTGTTTGCTTTTTATTTCCTTAGTTTCCAGTTGATGGTGTAGACACATCCGCATTTGACTCGTTTTACACACACACCTCCACACGCGCTAGTTCCCACGGAGCGTCGCAATGACCACCCCTTGTGAACCATTTCCAGCAATTCCATTCCCAGCATTCTAAAACCTATAGATTCGCTTGCTTGAACGCAACGCTGCGCCATATGCCGCCGTCGCCTGCGATCAGCATGGAATCGTTCGCGTGCCCTCGTTTACCTTCGCCTCGTGCAATGCTACGCGCTAATGGCTTCGCGCCTTCAGCCGTGCTCGCTAGTAATTCCTCCGCTCCGCCCTCCTACAACTTCCGCGCTCGCTCTCTCCCCCCGTCCGCGCACTCCTTGAGCCTTCCCCCCTCTCGTGCGCTCGCGTCCCCTTTTGCGGAACCCCCGGTTGGCCCCGCTCTCTCCTCCGCTCGTTCTTCCGCTTCCCCCTGCCCTGGCTCCCACCCGTGCGCTCACCGCTCCGCCGCCCATCAGTTCGCGCACTCCTTCGCGCAGGGCGGCGCGGAAGCAGTCGCCTCCCCCGATGCCTGCGCCCGTGCGCTGGTTCCGCGGGCGGGCACGGAAACCTCTGCTGGCGCAAAGTGGGGGAAGCGGCGGGGAGTGGCGGCGGGAGCGGGGCCGGCGCGAATGGAGATGTGGCGAAGGGGCGCGGGGGAGGGAGAGGCCGCGCGGAAAATGCACGAGAGAAAAGAGTCGGCGAAGTCGAGAGAGGCGGGAGAGGGGAGAGACGGGAGGGAGGGGAGAGACGGGAGGGAGGGGAGAGACGGGAGGGAGGGAGAGAGACGGGAGGGAGGGGAGAGACGGGAGAGAAGGGAGCAACGCGGTGCGTGGAAAAGGGGCCAGAGTGGCCATGACGGGTCGGTAAATGGTGAGAGTCGTTGGATCAGATCGGATCAACGGAGTGGATTCAGTCGGTCTAGAAATGGCGCTTCGTACGGGAGCTCATCCGGCGACGACCGTGAGCTTTCGCGCCGTCGTTCGTCGCCTGTCGCAGGCGAGTCGCAGCCGCTTCAATCGCAGACGACGGTCGTCGCAGCAGCAGTCGCAGAGCCAGTCGCGTACGAGCCGCAGCTGGGCGACCGCGTGATCGGCGTCGTAACGCGCGCCGCGGGCGACGGCGGGTTGGACATCGACATCGGCGCGCGGCTGCTGGCGCGCGTTCCCGCGCGCGACGCCGTGGCGCTGTGCGCGTTAGGGGAAAGCGGAGGGGGAGGCGGCACAGAGGACTACGATTGGCTGGTGCGTGGAGGGATTGGGAAGGGTTTAAGGGGGTGATGGACATCGTATTTTTGTTTAGAATTCTCAAAGAAACTGGAGGGAATGGGAGTGGTTGTTGGGCTGGGAGATTAGTTTCCGGTCCTTTTGTGGGGAATGAGAAGGCGAAAGCATGGTGAAAGGGGAGAGGCTGGCTGTTTGAGATGTGGTTGGTGTAAACCCCGCAAAAAACCTTGAACCCCTGCAAAAGCATACACCCATCCATCGATCCTTTTGAGCACTGTACAGGAGAATGCAAACTCTTTTGTGACGCCCGCAGGCCACCGTTCCAAAAGCCCTTTCTTTTCGTCGCGACCTTTGAGATGGGTTGATTCAGAAATAGAATGACCCCGAAGATCAGGAGGATGGAATGAACCCATTCCATCCCATCCAGACGTGTCCTTTTTTGGCGATCTCAAAGCCGTCTCCTTGCCTCAAACGCGCTCCATTCTCAGTAAACCCCTCGCAGCCCCCAGATGAGAATGCGTGAGTGAGAGTGATGCTGCCTTCTTGCCATGCTGATGGGTTCATACCACACCGCAACCGCTCCGCACCGCACCGCACCTCTGAGGCACCTTTGGGGATTCTCACAAGTGACCATGTGAATAAACCTCGCCCTCCCCCAATCCGCGCACCCTTCTGTTTTTGTGATCATGTGAACCTCCTCACTTCCTCCCCGCCCTCCCTCCCCTCCCTGTCTCCCCGTGCTGCTCCCTTTCTTCCAACCTCATCTATTTCCTACTGCTTTCCCATCCCTCTTCTCTCACCCTTTCCCCAATCCCCCTCTCTCCTGCTCCCCCTCTTTTCCCTCTCTCACCCCTTCATCCCACCTTCGTTTCGTTTCGTACCCGTTCCGTTCATACCCGTTGGTCCCGTGCCCTGCACATACACGCCCTCCTGTGCACAGGTGATCCCCCGGCCACGGCCGCACACCACCACTTCAGCTGAAGATACCACCCTGAGCACTGAAGCTCATACTGCTGCTGCTGCCACCGATGCTGCAGCCGATGCTGCTGCTGGTGCTGCGACTGATGCTGTTACTGGAACGGACAATGCCAACAGCAGCAATACCAGCAGCGACACCAGTGCTGCTGCTGTTCCAAGTGCAACCCATGCAGCTGCCGATAATAATTCGGATACCCACGCTGAAGCGGATACTGAGACTGATACTGATACTGATGCTGATACGGATGCTGATACGGATGCTCAAACTGATGCTGCTGGGGAGGCCAGTGAAGCTGCCCCCGCCTCCCCCCTTCCTTTCCGCGCGCCCTTTGGGGAGTTGAGGCTCGTGCGGGGGCGCTGGGGGAAGCGGGGGGCACGCTGGAGGGGGATTGGGGGAGGGCTGGCGCGGAAGGGGGAGGGAGAGGCGGGTGGGAGGAGGGGGCGGTGGTGGAGGGGGTGGTGGTGGGGGAGACGGTGACGGGATGGCCGCTGGTGTCGGTGCGCGTGCGAGCCATGGATGTGGCTTGGCAGCGATGCCGCCAGGTGGGGTGCGAGCGAGGCATGGGAGAGTAGAGTGCGAGGTTGGGGGGTGCGAGGCGAAGGTGGGGGGTGCGAGGGTGGGGGGAGGAGCAAATCAGGCAAGCTATGGAGAGAGAGGAGGGGGCATGTGTGTGTGGCGTGCATGTTATTTGCGTCTCGATCCTCTCTCAAACGATTTTCTGTCCACTTTTCCAACGCCCACCTCCTCTATTGTGCTGCTTCAACAATATTCCATTCCCAACCAACCCCTCTCTCTATCCCCACCCCACTCCATCCTCATCCCCCACGCGGCTCATCCGGGCTGTCTCTTTGTTGCCCCTCCTCCGCGCTCCTGTGTGCTCCTCCGCGCTCCTGTGTGCTCCTCCGCGCTCCTGTGTGCTCCTCCGCGCTCCTGTGTGCTCCTGTGCGCTCCTGTGCGCTCCTGTGTGCTCCTGTGTGCTCCTGTGCGCTGCTGTGGGTCCGTCCAAGTACAAATTTTGACTCCCCCGCTCCTCCTGTGTGTACGCCCCTTTCCCCCCTCGCCCCGGTCACCGCCCTCGCCCCCACCCCCGTCGCCCCTGTCACGTCACGAGGTGCCGTGCAGATCCAGCGGGAGGGCGAGCCCATCCGCATCTCTCATCTCCTCTTCTCTGTCCCCCCCCCCTCCCCCCCCCCCCCCCCCCCCCCGGCGCGCTCCGTCAACCCACGGTGCTGTGCAGATCCAGCAGGAGGGCGAGCCCATCCGCATCTCTCAACCTCCTCGTCTCTGCCCCCTCCTCTCCCCCCCCCTCCCCCTCACTCTCCCAACCCACGGTGCCGTGCAGATGCAGCGGAGGGCGAGCCCATCCGCGTCTCTCATCTCCTCTTCTCTGCCCCCTCCCCCCCCCCCCCCCCCTCCCCCCTTCCCCCCCCCCCCCCCCCCCCCCCCCCCCCCGCTCTCCCAACCCACGGTGCCATGCAGATCCAGCGGGAGGGCGAGCCATCCGTGTCACCATCGCCGCCTGCAACGTGGGCGGCCTTGAGGCTCGCCTTGAGGTGCGTGGAGTGGGGCGGTGGAGGAGAGGGGGAGAGGGAGGAGAGAGGGGGAGAGGAGTGGTGGGTGGGCGGATGGATGGTGAGGGTGAGAGGGGGGAGCGATGAGGTGTTGTGGGTTAACGGGCACGGTGCATGATGGCATGCCAAGCCTTCAGTGAGACCTGGATGATGTCATGCCTTTTTTGAGACCTAGATGATAGTTCCCTTCTCCCTCCCTACCGTGTCCGAATCTTGTTGCGCTGTTCATCAACCAACCTATGACCAACCTAGAACCACCCTCTGACCACCTTTCTTTCTCCTCCTTTCCTCCACCCCGCCTCCCCGTCTCTCCCTCTTCCCACAACACCACTTGTTCCTTCCCTTTGTGCCCAACATCCCTGCCGTCCGTGTCACAGGGACTGAGGGCGTTCCTGCCACTGCCCGTACTTGCTTAACAACCAGACGGCACCCGCCCTGATCTGCACTACCTCGTATGCTCTGCCTGTTCATTCATGCGGCGCTCGCTCGCTTGCTTGCTTGCTTGCTTGCTTCCCCGCCTGCCTGCCAAACTGCCTGCTCTCCCACCCGCCTGCCTCCCCGCTGGCACATTGGCTGTGCTTGTTGCGTGCACTGAGTTTTAGCATTCACCATGCTGTGCGCTGTGCAATGTGCCATGCAATATTATTCGTCCTCCCTCGCTCGCTCGCATCGCTCGCCCCCTCCCTCCCCCCCTCCCTCCCTCCCCCCCTCCCCCCTCCCCCCCCCCTCCCTCCCTCCCTCCCTCCCTCCCTCCCTCCCTCCCTCCCTCCCTCCTCCCTCCCTCCCTCCCTCCCTCCCTCCCTCCCTCCCTCCCTCCCTCCCTACCTCCCTCCCTCCCTCCCTCCTCTCCTCACTCACTCACTCCTCCCTCCCTCCCTCCCTCACTCACTCCCTCCCTCCCTCCCGCCCTCCCCCCTCCCTTCCGCCACCCCCCTTTCCCCCGCGTCACCAGGTGGGGAGGCGGCTGTGGGTGATGGTGCAGGAGGTGGAGCAGCGGGCGGGCAAGTCGCCTCATTCTCAGTGAAGTGGCCGCCATGGAGTACGAGGTGAGGGGTGGGAAAAGGGACAAACGAGCCATGCAGTATTCAAGTGAAGAGAACAACATGGGTTAGAGATACGACATGGGAAGTGCATTATTTTCAGTGAAGTGGCATGCATGGAGTACGAGGTGAAAGCGTTTGAGGCGCATCAAAAGAAAGAAAGTCCCATAGAGAGGCAGCAACTTTTCGAGTGCCCATGGGCCACTTGAGCCACTTGAGTTTCAATCGCATTCCCAGAAGGATGGCTCAAAGGATAAGTTTTTGTCGCTTTCCCACCTTCTCCTCACCATGCACCACCGCTTTCCTCATGCTCCATTCATCCCTTCACACGCCTCCCTCTGCCTCTGCCTCTCCCTCTGCCTCTGCCTCTCCCTCTCCCTCTCCCTCTCCCTCTCCCTCTCCCTCTCCCTCTCCCTCTCCCTCTCCCTCTCCCTCTCCCTCTCCTCTCTCCCTCTCCTCTCCTCTCTCCCTCTCCCTCTCCCTCTCCCTCTCCCTCTCCCGCTCCCTCTCCCTCTCCCTCGGCCTGCCCCCCTGCATGGCAGGTGGCGCGCTCGCTGCAGAGGGGGCGGGTGGTGCGGGGCAAGGTCTGTCGCATCACGCCGCACGGCGTCATGGTGCTCATAGACCACATTGCCAAGCGGTGGGTGCTGTTACGAGCAGTGGGTACTGTGAGCGTGAACGGTGGTGAGGCTATGAAGGGATGATACAAGGTCTGTCGCATCACGCCGCACGGCGTCATGGTGCTCATAGACCACATTGCCAAGCGGTGGGGACTGTGACCATGCGTGCAGGGGTGTGGGGGTATGCAGTGCGGTGCACGTCCAACCCCGCCGCGCAGCGTCATGGTGCTCATCGACCACATTGCCAAGCGGTGCGTGCTTAGTTAGCCTGCCCACGCGTGCAGCGCAGTGAGCGATGAATGGTGGTGCTGGGCTGTGATGGGATGATTCAACAAGGTGTGTCGCATCACCCCGCACGGCACGGCGGCGTCATGGTTTTCATCAACCACATTGCCAAGCGGCATGTCTTACTCTCATTCTTGACAGCAAACGTTGCGTGCTGCTGAGGCAAACATTGCGTGGAGGGCGGTGAGGAGTGGAAGGCCGGGGAGGGGGGGGGGGGAGGGTGTGTGAAAGTGTGGCTGGGGATGAAAGGTGTTGAAGGTTTGAAGGGATGATACAGGGTGGGATGATGCTATGAGGGATGGTGTGTTGTCAGGCGCATAATAAGATGCCACCACCACCGCCACCACCACAATCGTTGCTGCTGCCATTTCTGTTCCTGCCTCTGCCACTGCCTTAGACAGTATCCCTTCCTTTCTGCCGCGCGCTGCACTGCACTGCTGCACCTTCTTCCTTTCTCCCACCGCAGTGACTTCTGCACTTGTCCAAACATCTCGCGTTTGACTGTTGAGTCGACTCAAATGCCACCACGCCGACACCCACGCCACCCCACCCCACCCCA